TTCACTCGGCTGCCCTCGGCAGCTTCGTGAATAGACCCCTATGTTTGCTATTTTGAAAAGCCAGCATAATGAACACCTAGTGGTGGAAAAAAAAGCAATTATGGATTTACCCATCATTTTGTGCAAATTTTTTCCACAACTTTTAGTGGTTAATGTAACTGGAGACAGGGCATGGAGGTGTGTCCATTGCCTTCATACTTTGTGTTATAGGGTGTCCCTCTTTCTCATTTCAGAAAGTTAGGAGGTATGATTACTGTGAACAGGATTTGTGGTAAGTTGTGTTGGTTCTGACTTGATCAGAACAGATCTGGGCCTAATGGTTGTAAGAAGTGTATTAAAAGACTCTTTAGAATGCTCCAGAATTATTTTCTATATTCATGTATTTATTTTATTCTAACTCTACCTTTGCCAAAAGCAAAGTCTTGATGTTTCAGGATATCTAACCACTAATATAAACAGAAAGACTGATTTACTGTGCTGGAAAAATATTTTAGAATATAGCAAACGTACATGAATTTACTGTTTCCTGCTAAAAGCTTATTACAAGCTATACGAATAGATCACCATAAGAGTGTCCAAAAATGTTCTACAAGGGGCTACAAACATTAAAAATACACATTACGTCTAGCCAGTCCCTCTGACAGTAGCTTTTACTGTTTACTTCATGGGAAGAACAAGAATTCACAGTTTACACACAACTCTTCTGAAGTTACTGCAAGTGTTACTGCAAAACACATCAGTCTTTGTTACACTGTGGAATGTTAATAAATAACACGGAGCTTTAAAACAGACAAGCACATTATTTATGTAGAAAAAGGAAAATCTGATCTAAACTGAAGTATTTGATACATTTCCTACAGTTTATTATAAAGAAAAATACAAGTTTTGCAAGGTAATAGGTCTTGGAATAGGAGATGCTGAAAAATAAGGCTCTGGACTCTGTTTTCTCGTTTGTTTGGATGGTTGATCAGTGTGCACCTTTTAGAACCTGGAGTACCTGTCATCTGCACACTGTACTGTGGCCATTTTGTAAGCGGAATCTATAATGACTTGCAAAATTATTGGGAACTAGTCTTTTCACAGATACATAAAGGGCAAGTGTAGTCTTTACAATTTCCTTTAAACACACATCTAATGGTGGCCGTATATGTATCAATTTGTGATCCATCTTGGTACAAGTCATTGTAAATCTGTGCATTTATCTATAATTTTCATTCAATCTAATTGGTTTAGTCACAGCAAATGACCATCTCGATACATGTGTAGCCACCATAGGAAAAGCTTGTTTCTACGTATAGTTTGTAAATAGATATAGTATGTACATGGACTCAGCCATATTTGTTTATTATTTATGCAGGCTGCGCTTCCTGCACTTCTAAACAAAGGTCAAGCTTTATAACTCTTTCTCACAGCAGGTTGAAAAAATGATTGATATCTCAATAGCTGTTATGCACTTAGACAGCCCACTATAGAGGTCAATTTAACTTGCCTCTAGTGGATAAACTACAAATTTAAATTGAATACAATAACAACAATAAGAAAGAAAAAGCAAGAAAAATCTAAAGGCCATAAAAAATAATAGTAGATTTAAACCCTAAAAGACTGACATTTAGGGGTCTATTCACTATGCTGCCGAGGGCAGCCGAGTGAATGACCGAAAAGGGGTCCTGGGGCCGAAGGGAACTGAACCGAAGGGGTCCTGGGGCCGAAGCTAGCCTAAGGATCGGCCGAAGCTACGGCAAGATCCCTCGGCAGCTTCATGAATAGACCCCTTAGTTTACACTGCATGTCATAAACTGTTGCCATTTTAAAAAAATAAAATACTAGTTTTCAGTTTTTTTTAATCCTTTGTTGCATCTCAGTGTTGCTAATGTCTGCAGCATTATTGCAGTTGCTTCCTGTCAATATGCACTACAACAATGGCTGCATGGCATTTCTCAGTGTGGGTTTCCTGATGATGACCTGTTTAACAGAAGTGGGACAGGGACAGGGACAGTATGACAGGGACAGAGTTAGCATCTGTACAAGTGGTTCAGTGTTGACTTGTGCAAAACTTGTGTCCCAGTATACAGCCTGGACCTTGGATCCAAGGTTGTCCCCAATCACAAATAAACTAACCTGAAGACAAACACAGCTACTTCAGTGCCTGCACTTTATCAATAGCAGTACCTTTTACATTTCGCTGTACATGACAGGTTCACTTTAACACTGTTCATACACAGGCTAGGCTCATCTCAACTTGCAACTGCCAATCCTTGTTGGGATTTACTGCACCCCTGAACACTCCATAATCATTTCTTAAAACATTGATTTATGCAGCATGTTAATGGAAATAATAATTCTGTTATGTACAGGGAAAGGGGACAATCGTTAATCTGCTGCAGCGCCTTTTAGCACAAAGTACCTGTGGCTCAACACATTTATCACTGAAAATGCTCACCTCTATACTGTCTGATTATGGCCAGCAATGATGGAACCAGTGATTTTGCAAGGGAAAAAAAGGCTATATTTGTGTCCAATATAAAGACAAAGACAAATGGTAATAGCTACAGAAACAAAGCACATCAAACCTAGCCTTAAAGTGTATTTCCACTTTTGCAACCAAATTGGGATAACACCTATTTTATAATTGTTAAATGTTCTTATTGACATAGCATAACCTAAAAAAATTTTCTTACATATTACTTTCTCTATTCTGAAAGAAAAGTTTTTTCTCCAACAGAATTTTCCTCTGGAATGAAAGGGGCAGGGGAACCTAATAATAAACCCTGTCTGTATAGTGCAAGAAGATTTTAGTTAATTGTAAATTAGATTTGAACACAGTCCTAACAAAGAGTTAAATATCTAGAAGCCTTGCATTGTTAATGAGTAGATGCTCAGTCTGTCCCTAATCTTTCAATGGGGACAGCCAGAGTTTCCTGTCAATTTGAAATTATAGGGAGACGAGTAGTAGTCTAAAGGCCCGCTCAACAGAGCTAAATGATAAGATATATATATATAGTGGGGTTTTCTCAGATTTGACTGCAAAAGTGAAAATACACCTGGTCTGAATTACTAACGGAGTTGAGAATCTTCACCCAATAAACTGTGATAGTTTTTATTTCTATTATCCAGCAATGTGCTAAGCAGGTTCATGTTCACATAGAATTACTATTAATGTGCAGAAGAAATTAGTAAACAGGAATTTGTGTTAACATTTAATAGATAACTCAATTGAATATTCACACAATCTATTGAAAGAAGATTTTCAACTCCTTTAGAAAATTAGCCTCTTTGCTTATAGTTCTGCCAGACTAAGCAGTAAAACGTCAGCTTTGATTTGTGTACCCTGCCAAACTAGGTGGATTAATAATGTTACACTGGCAAGCAATGATGTATTGACATCTCTGCTGGATTTTAGCACTTTGAGATCTAAGCAGACAGAGTTCTATTTCTTGGAAAACATTTGACTCTACGAAGGAGTTCATACCAACCACCGAACAATTTAGAACAAAACAGCCCTTATGGTTAATTCTAGACTTGCCAAGTTGCCAGACTGGGCCTTCTTTCCACATATTCTGCTTGCTTAGTCAGGTCCGCGAATAGTGTATGCAAACAAATAGTGTACTAAATAAAAACTGCTAATATAAATGGGTTCTGCATTTAGGAATAACAATTCAAAGCATAACAGGTCTATTCTTTGAGTAGGTTATCGGTGTACTTTCAATAATGGTTGTAGATGTAGTTGTTTTAACTCCAGTGAAGAAGCTGTAATTTGTATCTTAGATCTGCCTTGTTTGGCTTACGTTTGGAAACCCAATAACTTGAGTTCTCCATGATAGAAGTACAGCTATCCTAATGCCAGCTAAACTGCAAATATAATAACACCAAGCACAAGAATGCTTGAATTAATCTTGTGGAAACAATTCTGCCAATTCCTTCTAAACACAAGAACTTTAAAAACACTTCCAGACAAATGCACATGTTAAATAAATATCCTTACTGTTTTACCTGCTGAAGGGTTTATACATTTACACACCTCTGCCACAATGCACGGCCACACAATTATTTCCTGGCTCAGTAATACAGCTTCTTGTGTTATTTTTCCACCTAAGACCAGCTTTTCTCCCTCTTATTATTTCTTTTAAAATAGCAGAGAGCAGATCCAAGAAAGAGTGACACTGAACTAGTAATAGTATGCAGTAAGTACTAGACAGGGTCTTTCAAAGGTAAAACAGCAACTATGTATTTCGATATGTATTTCACCTGTGCATTTAGCTGTTTGAAGTTCCACTTTAAAACAAACCCATCAGCCATTTTAACATTCTAAAACTAAGAGACTGCCCTTATAGCAGATGCCACAGGATGTCTGCTGATGCCTTTATAAGTCACCAAGTGTGCCTTTCTGAAACTAGTTTGATTTTTGTAATAACAGCCTGACATCCCTGACTTCAGTACTAAGCCACACCCAATGCCGTTGTTCTGTCCAATAAGAGAACCCTTAATCAACACTGATGCACTACAGATAGGAAACTTGCAGTTGGCAGGGCTTAGCCATAAAGCCCACCCCCTAGAAACTAAGTGAAATTAGTTTTAGAGAATCAGACAAAGGAGGGGTTTCTGGCGTATTACACTAGTAGAAGACATTTTGTTGTGCCTGAAATAAAATCCACAGATGCCTGACAGCCTCACTTTAATATGGCTTATTGCACTTTGGTCAGCCATGTTAATGAAAGTGTGGGTAATTTATAATTTAATTGCAACAGTAACTGTGATTGCATTAACCCTTAAAAGGAAAATGCTACTGAATTCTAATAAAAAAAGTAATTTGTTCCCCAAAATACAGAAAAGTATACCTGCTCTTAGACAGAAATTACAAATTTAAATGTTGAAAATGACTGACAGGTTCACTTAAAGCAATTTGTGACATGTAACAATGTGGACAAAAATATGTGCAGCATAGAAAATTAGGACAAAAATAAGCAATAACTATTCGACAGAATAGGAAAATTTGGACTTACTTCACTATTTTGAGGAATGCTAAGCTTTGGCAGTTTGGTCTTGCTGACTGCCGCATTGACCTTTCCTTCCAGTATTGCTCCAAAAGACTGGCTGTTAAATCCATCTTCAAATTCTGTTGGTGGCTTTAATTCAGGTGAGTCATTGGGTACTTGGTCCTGACCATCCATTGGCCTGACATAGGCTGTTGGCTTCTGTTGCATAATGCTACTTTTACTGTGAAGTCCGGGGGGAAAGTTTTGAGAGGACAGACTATTGACTGCCAGAAGAAGAGATGTAGAAGGAAGAGGAGACACAGAGCTATGTCCTGAAAGTTCTAAATCAATGGGAGACTTTGAATGAATGGTTTCTTTGTAAGATTGTTCCCCACTCAATGTTTTTGAGTGATTAAATCTCCTTGAGTGAGCTGGTGAAGTTGCGGGCACTGGTTCCTCCACATTTACAATTTTATGCTGCTCATTTTGGCAGTTATAAAGGTCTTCATACCTAATTTGTGATAAATCATGAGACGAGCTGTGTTTTGATCGACTTGATTGGCTTGATTGTGTACAAGTAGAGTTATGTCCACCATGTGGCCAATCCATTCTTGACTTTCTTGTTCCTTCATGAACCATTGTGGACATTGGAGCCAAGCCTGAGGGTGGTGGCATTGATGTGGATGAATGGTTATTACTCTGATGGCATTGTGCCACTCTGTTTCTTTGCTCTGGAAAGAAGTTTTGCTCGTTTTTCTCAACTGGTGTTTGAGGAACAGAATTTTTTGGGATTCCTACCAGATGGCTCTGGTTGGAGTGATTGGTCAGCAAGTCTTTCATCTCATCATAGTTTCCCAGGGTATTCTGGACACGGTTTGCAAGAGCATCTCCTTTATTTGTCTATAATGTAACAAATTAAAACAAACATTTTTGAACGTTCACAGAAAAGCAACAAATAAACACTACACACAGGAACAATCATAATTGTTAAAGGAGCCAATTTATGGCACTTGCAACATGTGTAGTCTGGGTTATATAATAATTAAAAGACAAAGTAAAATGATTTTGTATACAATATATATCTCTCTATATATATATATCTCTCTCTCTATATATAGAGAGATATATATCTCTATATATATACTGTATATATACTGTATATACTGTATATAGATAAGCTTTTAGGCTCTTTTCAACAGAGACTATGGAGAAACTGGAAAACCATTTGCGGGCTTAATTTTGTTCTAAGTATAAAATAATTACAAAAATGAAACATTCACTTTTAGAGCCAAATAGACACAGACAATAAATAGAGGTCAGATCAGTGCCAGAGCAAGGTCATCTAGCACTCAAGACAAAGATGGGAAAGATTTTGGGGGATTTCCTAGTCCTTTTTTCAGTGTAGGAAACCAACAGCTCCCCTCCCACCTTCCAGACACAGTGCCTAAGGAGGTAGCCTTTAATGCACTACAAATCCAAACATTAACTGTCAAATTATCTTTCTCCCCAATCATATATACATGAATATGCACTTTTAATTCCTTCATGCATACATGTTTATCCACACTGAGCAGACCTAAGTGGAACAATAGCTGGCTAGATTATCTGTGCTGATGAACTGTCTCCCAATATTGGTTGGCTGGGGTATTTATTAACCTTTAGCCTTTCAATTATTTTATTTGCCAATTTGGACATTTATCTACAATCTACAAACACCTTTAAACACTACACTGATTACTTTATCACACCATGCGTTCATTTCTCAACTGCAGATGATTCATCTCATTAAAAGTGGTAATGGATATTTAGAGCCTTATACTTGATATTCTATTTGTCTTATCTCATCATAATGGTATGATTATATAATACAGTTGTGATGAAGAAATAATAATTTTAATGGGTAACATCCATGTACTTTATGATTTGAATAAGTTCAAATACCATAACCAGAGTTTGTCTTTGTCTTTTGTCATTCCCCTGTCTAATTTCTCTTCCTTCCTTTTTGTTCCAATCCTTAATATTTTTCTCATTTTATTGGACATGAGTGTTCTTATGTCATACATTACTTTTTCAACAATTGTTCAATAATGGTTGAATATCTTTATATGATTTATGTTCTGCTTATTCGTTTAAATGAATAAAACTGAAATAAATAAAAAATTACTGTATTTTGGATGGCATTAAATGGCATGTCAAATGGTAAGCTGTTTTAAGAAAAAACATATATTTAATCCTCACAGTAAATCTAACATAATTTTACTAAACTGATCTATTTAATTGTTGTGTCGGATGATTGCTTTCATGTGACAGATTGAGAGGATCAAATCTATGATCTGTCAAGCAATAATTATCACATATATGGGCAGCATAAAGGTGATGTCTGGCACACTGCTACCATATCACAGTGCAAAAAATAGAGAACAATATAGCTTATGAAATATGATAGTTGTATGTAGAATAACCACATGAGAATCTGTTGAGAATAGTTCAAAGTGTATCATGCTGTGCTCACTTCTCTAGAAAGGTTTGCTGGTTTATCAGAAAAGGGCCAGGAAAGAGAACCAACACCAGGGTTTCAAAAAAAAAAAAAAAATTAGTGATTGGAAGGTAATATTCACTTCTCAATATGTTTTTTTACAGTATTTAAGCTGACTCAGCTGAAATTTGGACAAGATGTGGGCCCTGTCAACACCTCTCCATTTGACAAAAGTTGATTTGTTTTCGTTTGACTTTTGTAGAAGATACCAGTTTCAAACAAAACTTGTCCGAACAGTGGCTGCAGCCAAGGGTAAAAGAAATGGAGGTACAGAGGGCAAAAACAGGACATAAAAATAAGGGCGAGTGTCATTGCACTTTTGGAACTGCTTCTCTCCCCATACAACTCTATGGAAATACAAAAATAGCTAGAAGCAGATGAAATGCACCATATATTCTGAATGATCTCAGAAGTGACTCAAAATTATGTAAAACAATGTTGCATTTGCCCATAAAAGCCAGTTGACACAGGGACAAAAAAACTTTTTTAAATGGAGTGATAGTGCCAGCATAATTTGATGGGGTTCCAAAGCAACATTGAACCTCTCTAAAACTAGTAGGCAGCTTCTGAGTTCATTGCATTGCATTGTAATATGCAGAATGGTTGTACTAGTATCTGAAAAGTCAAGAACTGCATAAGAGTTTAAAAGGCTCCCAGGGGCCTGGATGCTATCAGGTTAGTTTTATTAGTGGAAATTCTTAACAGGCATGTTTAAATATGTAATTTCAGAATACTCTATAACCATCAGCATTGCAAACCTAACATGTCTAACCTATCCTTATCCTTAACAGCATTATGTTTATTTTTACATCTGCCATCATGCACTGCAATATCCATAGCTAATCTCTGCCCCATTTGCAAATTACACATTAGACTACAAATAACAAATCTTGTACTGTTCTCTCTACCCATAGCAATCCTCATTAAGTTTTAGTAAATTAAATGGAAGAACTAATGTTCACAAGACGTGATGCACTGGATGAATTTTCCCGTATCTGGGCTTGTTGGGAACATTTTTCACTACACCTCAATATGCTTCCCTCAGATCTGCCTAAAATTGGCAGGGCATGTCCTGATAAGAATTTCTATGCAAATGTTACTTGAGGAGACTTCTGGATAGCAGGGGAGGACTCATGGCCAGCAGGGTGTTCCCTTTTTTTCTCCCATTCCTCCTATGCCTACTCTGTTCCCCCTGTTGGTTCCTCTCTCTACCTCTCTTCTACTTGTCTCTTTCCTTTTTCTTTTCAGTAACCCTTATTGTTCTTCCTCGGTCCCCTTCCCTTAGATGTCCTTTGGGCTTTTTCTTGCTACAGTTCTGACCTGATAACGTATGATATCAAATGTGGATTGATTTTTTATATTTGCTATAGGGCTCTTCTATTTATATGCACTTTTTGTAATTTTTTGTAGAGTAATCATACTGGCTGTTATTTGCTGGCCTTTGTGGTGTGGGTGGGAGGGGGGAGGGGATTCCTTTCTGATACCTATTATTTGTATCCACCAAAATGATTATTGTACTATGTCTACTGTTCATCGTTTGTACTTGACCCTTTTCTTGTATATTATTTGTTTTGTATCAAAAACTTAATAAAACAAAAAAAAGTTTTAGTAAAAGCACATACATTCTGTGGTCAAACATATTTATATATAAGTAAAATTACATAAATTTTACTGTTCTGGTTACTGAAAGCAATACTGGTCTGGGTACGTTAAACAATATACTGAAACGTCAACAATAGCACAGCTGTAGTAATTAGAATGATCTCAAGCGCACTTTGCTGTGGTATGATTGTATGTATGCAGTTGAACATAATTACATAATCTCGGAAGATCTACAAAACATTAAAACCGAGTAACATATTTATAATTTACAGTTGAGAGAACAAAAGCAAGACATCACAGTTACTTACTAACAGTTCCTAGGTTTTGTCATTTTTAGTGGCAGAAATTACATTTAGCTAAGCCAAGAATAAGCTCTTTGTTTATAAGCTGTCTCCTTCAACAGAGTTGCACAATGTACCATTTGGGTATCAGCCAAACATAGGCTCACTCTCACTCTCTCTTTTCAACCTCCATGCTGAGAACAAGAGGACACTATTGTGCTCTGGATATAGCCAGAGGACTTATGATGCACTTTTTAAACACTTGCATATTTGTTCTGCTGCCTCACACACAGTTTAACTCATTATCACAAAGAAAAACAACCATCAGTAATGAATCAAACTGGCGTATTCTTTGCTATGCCTAATTCTGTGTAAATATTTCAAGTGAATTTTTGTAGCATTTAATTGTATTGTGGAATGCCTCAAGAACTGTGAATACAGTCAGGTTGATTTATTAAGGAACTGGAAATGCCAATAGTGTAAAATTGGCAGTGAACCAAAGGAGGCATCCAAATTTCAGTTTACTGCAGTTAAATAGTTAAAGCATATCTAAACTCAAAAATTAAAATATCAGTGCCACTCAAAGTCACCATTGGGGTGGATGGGTTTGGGTGACAATGTAAGAACACAATTGAGAGACAGCTGTCACCCCATACCAGTTTCCTAAACAACAAACATAATGTCAAGTATTATTTTAATTAAAACTGCAAATTTAAAAGGATTGAAAACAACTTTTAAAATTGTCATGTTAAACCTGGTAGAAGTGTATAGTGATTGGGTCACTACATACTGGATCCTTGTACTGGATCCTTGCCTTTAAAGAGCAGGGTGAAAGGCTCCCTTTAAATTTAGGCCTAATTATCAGCCATGCCTACCTTGTAAGGCTCCCCAAAAAGATTAAAACCAGAAGCAAAGAGATCTTCATCCTGCTGGACCTCTTGAGTTCTTCTCTCCCATTCTTTTCTTTTCAGTGCATTCCGCTCTTGTTCATAATGACTGTTAATAAAAAACAAAGTGTTATTTGTGCTGAAATGTGGATCATACCTGCAGAAGACTTTTACTAAAAAAAATTCTAACTTACTATACGCCTTGACATCAACACTACACAACTGTCAAAACTTATTATGCCGGCAAGCATTTTATTTATTCATATTTTTTGTCAGTGGCAAACACCAGAAATGTCTGTAAAGGAGATGTCAAATGAATTAATGACTGCATACAGAACAGAATGCTGGTATTACTTAAACAAATTGGAATGAGTTTTGAAAACAGTATTAATATTGAAATATTTAATGATTACTGCAAAATTGTTCAGATAGTAAACTGAAAAAAGTCTAAATGTTTTGCTACAATGCTACTACTATTACTATATCAGTACTATACTACTACTATACTATGATGATTGTGGCAAGTACAAAATAAATTAGTGAATATTATTTAATAAATACCAATAATAATACCAAATCCTAGCCATATTTTGGATAGAGTGAGGTTATATTTTTTTGCAGTCCCTTCACTTCCTGTCCTGATGACCACAGACTAAAAAGACAACAATGAAGCAAAATATTTTCAATAAGGATGGAACGCAGGCCAAAACCATTTTTTTTATAGTGTACAGTGGAAATGGGTTAGAACTTCTGTGGGCTTTTAATTACTAATTGTGCCTTCCTGTCCTTTAATTTTTTTCACAATGCGGTGTAGAATAAAGTAGCGGGCAATGCTTCTACACCGCATCGCACCACAGTGCATAAACATTGGAAAAATTGGTGCATATCTGTTCTTGACTGCGGTGTGTTGGTAGTGCATTCAAAATTAATTGACTGCCTTAACACAATGCACAGTAATGTGCAACACAATGCATGTTGCTGTAGGCAGGGCAAATGGAACTGCAGATTATTAAAACAAAGGTATAAGCTGTCAGCGTATGGGGTCACTTGTACTGTGCAGATGCTCTTTGTGCCAACTTTATTATGGGAAACATTAGAAGATGTCTGCTAAAAACCAACCCGGCTGATTTCTTCCCTGAGATTTATTAGTCTGGAGTGTCAACACTGGTTGCATAATTTCCACAGACATCTTTTCACCACAAGCTGAGCAAATAGTTCAAATCATGCAACAGTTAACTTATGTCTATGGGCATCTTAAAGGGTTAGATATTACATTTTTTAAAAGGATGCTGGAGAGTCACTGTGGTAATGTGCGGGCCCCACTTTCCCAGCCTGATTTTCTATATGTTTTGTCTGATGTAGAAAGCAATGGGAGAGACTGGAACATATAAAGATGGACATGAACACCCAAAACTCCCAGAAGGACTTTAAAAGAATTGGGAATTATGGCAGAGATATCACTGTTGGAGTACATATAATGTGAGAGTCTAACTCTGCCTATCAGGTTTCACCTACAATGAAAACATCAATTGTGGGTGAAGTGACTCATTAAAAGGAACCTGATAGAATAAAACATGGGGGCTGCCATTGCTAACCTGCTTATGAATATACAGTACATGCTCCAAAGCTGTCAGTCTTAATTTTCTTTCATTACCCAATAAGCGAGAACTAGGATGTGCATATTAAGTATTCCTCTTATACATATGCTTACTGCAGGTCAATGACTCACCAATTAGTGAAGGAAGGATAACAATGACATTTCTGGAGCATTTACCTTCAAAAACAAATCAGTAATGGAAGGTCCCATGTTTTCCATACTTTTATCATGACTGGTTGTATTAAAGTTAATAAAAATGTAAAGTGGTAGGATAGGGAAGTAATCACATTATTTTTCACGTGTTCAAGGTTATTTTAAATCACATCATAAAGGTTCTTGAAGCTGGCCCCCCTGATAATGGCATGTGTTGTGACGTGTCATCATGGGGTTGCCTACAAGAACCAGGAATATACAACCATCCACATGATGAGACACTGAAGCAAATGCACATATTCTCTGTATTGCCAAAAGGCCTCCTAAGATGCATGGTGTAAGGATCACAGGAGGCTGCGGACTACATCATTCTCGCCTAGGTGAGAAATGCAGAAGGAAAAAAAAAAATATATATATATATAACTCTAAGGGGAGGATGCACA